TTTACAGGTTGTGGCCTTGGTGTCAGCCTGTTTATTGATATGCGTCATTGTTGTATAAATGACTCATATGTGGCATTTATTCCTTCACAGTGGTCATTTGGAGTTGTTTTATGGGAGATTGTAACTCTTGCTAAGGCACCGTATCAAGCTATTGACAGTTCAAAAATGGAGCAGCATCTGCAAGCTGGACATAGATTACCACAACCTAATAACTGTCCGTATGACTTGTAAGTTTTGTTTCTTGTGGTATTTCCATACCAAAAAAATGAGCTGTAAACTTAAAATTTCAATTTTTCTCTTTTTTTTTCCTTTTTTTTTATTTTAAGGGAGTGATTCCCTTAAATAACTCATCTTTTGTTAATAATAAAATAAAGAATGGGTGGGTTCCAATAGTCCACATTGATATCCTTCTGTGAAACAGGTCTGAGCATTCAGAGGTTAATCCTTTATCTCCTAGAAGTGTTTAACCCATAACTTCTCCCCATAAAATCCATAAATTATCCAACAATCAGGTACTGAGAATACTCATACTTATCAGGTCAAGGTTATCTTGATCAAACACCAAATTCTCATAACTAGGTTATAACAAAATGTGTAACAGCTGGAGGGGGGAAATTAACAATGAGATCTTGGTAGTTAAAGGGTTATGGCATTGTTTTGACCTTCACTGTGTCTTTTTGCAGATATTTCTTAATGAAAAACTGCTGGGAATCCAGTCCAAAAGCAAGACCAACATTTAGTCTGTTATTAAAGCAATTGGAACACTACTCCACAAGGCTGGTGCAAAATGGACTCAAGTTTGAATATCTACCAGAGTCTGACTGTTGATGAAGGGAAATTTCTTGCTTTTCTGGGCTTATTATTACCACTTAAATATATAATTTTTGTACTTGTGGCTGTATCATAGGAAAAAAATAATTTTTGTACATTGTATAGGTTTATCAAATTATAGCCATTTAAAATTCAAGTAGCCTTATTTCAGGTATGTTTGAAGCATGGCAGTTAAAAAATTCATCGGTTGTTACATTAAAGGTGGCTGTTTGGGTGGGTCAGTTTTTTAAAAATATTAAGCCACTATTTAATGAAACTGAAGGCGAAGTTTTGCTTTTGAAAACACAGACATGTGGGAAGACTTTCATTTTACAACATTGTAGGTTATGGGTCAGTATTTTTGTAGGATTTTTTCAGTGTTGCTTGTAGCACTTTTCTTTTCCAATGTTGTGTTTCACATGTCAATTTTTAAGTCATATGGTAAAATGAAAACTCATATTTCATTGGGAAGTTTTTGTTTCTGAAGGAAGCCCCTGTGCACAGGAGCATAATCTTCTGGAGATAGATCACAATTTTTGATTGTGAAGCTGTTCTTCAAATTAACATGCTGTATTTTTCATAGTGATTTACCATTGTTTTGCTGCTATAAAATTCTATGCCTTTTTTTTTCTCTTGTGCTGTCTGGTAACATTGTTAAGTTTCCCCAGTTACATTTTACTGTTGCAGTATAACTGTGATTGGTGGCATTCGTTGTTTGGTTTCAAAGTTCACATGTAAGTCATTTTGTAAATACAGTATCCATTGTTCCATTTCCAATTTTTCAGGGACATGTTTTATATTCTAGTTATGCTTTGTTCATCTTGTTTGTTGAAAATCAACATTTGAGTAGGTATCATAAAGTTTTACCCCTTATATTGCTTCATCAGGCCATTCATTAGAAAACTCTATGTTTGTTGTTTGGTAAATCATATTTGTGTTAATAGTATCAAAACAAGTTTTAACTTTGTCCACAGCATGTCATCAAACTGATTGCCTTCAGACCCTAAAGAGCTTATATTATTAATTAGCTAACCTACAAAATTAAATAACTATAAATTGTTATTTAATTAGTAAAAAGGGAGTATTTTTCTACTAAGTTTCCAAAAAAACTCCAATATAAACTTCTTTTAAAACATCATATTTGCTCACCAATCTTAACTTTGGTGGGTGTTGAATGTTTTTCAAAAAGAGTAGCGCAAGTCCCCCTACCAGATTTGGACAATTTAAGGGCAACATAAAACTTTTTGCAAATAAGCTCAGTGTTTATGGTTTTGGAAAATGTAAATTATGTTTTCCAAGCCATTTTCTGAGACATATTGTTAGAAAATTCTGTTGCAAGCTATTTTGTACATTTAACACAGTAAAATTTTCAAAACAGTTTGTTTTGCAACATTGTTTATGGAGATGCTGGGATTGGATCATATTTGCGAATTAGCAGTAGAGAGCTACTGCAAATGTTAATCTGTGTATGGAGCTTACTAGAATTGTAGTTTTCAAATGTGTTCTTTTGGTTCACGTTCAGATTTGTACAGTGTAATTAGTTTTTTTTTTGACGGGATGTTAGTAATAGAACGTCTCAAAAGTATAACAGAACGAGCGCATTTTTCTTTAGCGTATTGCATAATGTATGGCTTCTCTTTATAACTTAATCTCATAACACGGTTGTTAATAGTGGTTGGTTAATTTTAATGCAGTAAAGTGTTGTGGAAAAACGTTGTTTCGGAGCCAAAGTTGAGCCGCTTGCTTAAAACATACCTTAGCATGAAGATATGTAGATACAGTATTAATAAAATGTTTTGTAAAGAAATAAACACATATCACGTTAAAAGTAATAGCCAAAAATATATATGATGTATATAGTGATTTTAAGGTAACTGTGTCTTTGAATGGTGGATCTTTCTGGCAATAAACATGTAATTTAGCATTTCTTGTTGGGCATGAATTGTTATACGTTATGTCAGAAATGATTTAGCTTTGGTGATGAGACTCTGAAGGTCACTTCAATTTTACATCACATATTAGAGTTATGTTGCAATATTGAAGCATTTCATGCAACAGTTACTCTGATATGCGGTCTTTTCACGCAATGCGGGAGAGAGCGCGTTGCGTGACGAGAGAAATGACAGTTGCGAAGGGGAGGTTATGTTTCGTAACCCTGTACACCCCAACATCATCATGCAGATTCTCCATACATGTCTTAAGACTCTGACATAAAGAATTTGTTTCGTAACCATCGAGCGCCTCGTCAGTTGGTGATCATTTCCGTTTTTCTTGTGACCTTTATATTTCATTTTATGGATGATACTATAAAGAGAAATTAGATGCCTGTCACTCCTCGTGGGTTAAAGTGTTAAGCTGCATGAAAATGTCTTTATGCAAGTTCAGTCCAGGTTTGCTGCATCAATTAAGGTTTTGGGTATCTTTTGACGGCAAGTTACACTAACGGTTAGGATACTTCACAGCTCGGACATTTTTCGTGAAGGATCCACTGTTTTAAAATCATTTTGTTATTTTTGAGTGGTACTGAGTCACGATTGCATGACGTATGACGCAGGGTACGAGCTTTTTTCACTCTTCTTACGGTGGAGAGGAGGTGGCACAGATTCAGACAAATAATAAATGTTGCAATTACCAAATTATATTTTGAATCTTTTTTGCGTGAAACTTATTTATAGAATCATTTTTTAAAAAAACCTTGCGCTGCGGAAACACTCGTCAATTAACGCCTCCCGTCCCCCCCCCCCCCCCCCCAGGCATGAATATTGACCGGTCCCTTGGCCTGAAACCATATAAATTATATCATTTCACATCACTCAGCTTTCAGTTCTCTTTTGAGAGAACTTCATTTCATGTTCTATGTCTTTAAGCCTAACTTTAAAGCTTCTTGCCTTCACCTGCCATGAAATAGAACAAGTGAGCAGCAGTTTAGATTAATTCCTCATGAAGATTCACGTTGGTCGGTGATCCGGCGACTAGCATACTCTGGTAGCCACAGGATTCGCCAAATCTTTCCCGCTCGCAAAGACAGCCATAATTTGAAGTTGTATTTTACTAGTTCCGATCAAGCAAGTCCAACATATAAAATCTAACAATCAGAGAGGGACTGCCGGCCATGAGAATCGAAGTGTTTATTTAGTTGAAGGGAAAAAACAACTGCCCTTCATTCAGTATGTCATAATAATTAAGAATAACTAACATCATCTTAATGATTGTAGTAAAATAAATGGTCTAAGCAACAATTTTTTAAAAAAAAAATAGGTACAAATACCTGAAGTCTAACGAAGTCCGGTAGAAATTTTTGTACGAAAATGTTCCTAGTAACCGTGCTCGGATTAACCTTCTTAACTCCTAATCTACGATTTTTTTCGTACAAAAATAAGGGATATGTGGTCTTCCCTTTAAATTCGAAGAGGTATTTTTAACTTGAGGGCCATCATCAAATATCAATCTAGAATCCTAAACTATACAGTTGTAGACTGCTCGTGTGACCAGCTATAAAAATCTTTATCGTCAGTAAAAATAAGAAAATGTTAATTTCCCGTGGAATTAATTTAATGAAGTCAAAAAAATTAGCGTTACCCCGAAGTCGATATATATATTGGGCATGAAGATCACTTCATAAAAATACTTGAGACAGTTCCACGCAAAAAAACCAAACAAATGAAACCGAAAAAAAATTTTGAAAACCTTTGAAAATCTTACCCTATTAGAGAAAACGTTTTATCATCACGCTTGAGATTTCATATGATTTCCTGAAAAAATCAGAACAATTATGTACGAGTATACTTTTTAACCTTGAAAAAAACTCTGCGCATTTGACATGATAGAGAGCCTCTTAGAAAAACAATTACTCCATATTTGCTAGGGCTACACGACGTATCACTTTCGAAAGAATATTACTTAAAATTTGCTTTGCTTAATATATTAATCGCTTTCGAAAAACATTAGTTACAATATGCTTGGCTTGATTATTTAACTATTCCGTTTCGAGAAAGGAATGCTCTTTGAGTTTGGTCAGTAACTGCTAACTGTTCATCATCTCTACTTTATGAATTGTTCTGTCCCTGGTGCGCTCTTTACAGGAATGTTTACCTTTGACAATAGCTGAGTACTTGAAATTTAGCTCGCACACGTCTCTCGCAGATGGCTTCCTCTTTCTATATGGTGGCAGTTCACAGTTTCTAGCTTTGCTCAGTCCAGCACATTCCGTTACAGCGGGTTTACTTGATTCATGGCTATTTGGTTGTAGTAGACACAGGCCAATTTGCAAAATCAAACGTCACGTTGTCGCCAATCAGCATAAAAGACGCCCACTTGGAGACTTCTACAAAGCCATTGTTTCTCATCCATTTCCTAGCCTTGTGAAGAGATTCACTGGCGCTTTCACCGCGGAACAAGTGCTCGTAGAAACAAGTCATGAACTTCTCTGTGGCTGTGTCATCTAAGGCCCACCGTGCCGCTAACACTGAGCGAGCACCGGATCCTAAGAACGCTCGAACGATTCCAATAACGCCCTCGGCTTTAATCTGTCCACGTGCACTATGACAACAGCTAAGCACAACCAGTTTAGCTCGCAGCTTAATTCGTGAAATGTCCTCCATGGTCAAGAGGAAGGCTTCTTCTCGTGGAACATAGTCAGCGGAACACTCTGGGGAAAGGACAATCTCTCCTCTTTCAGCATCACCATGGGCAGCTAAATGGACCAGACTCACTGAATGTATTGCTTGAAGTACAGCCTGCTTTGTCGCGCGATCTCCAATCAAAGGTGTCACTCCAAGAAGTCTTCCAATCATCTCTGCTTCCTTTCTTGCACATGGCAATTGTGTTATATTCATGCGTCTTCCCTTGTAAATCACCTCTCCAACCCGAGGGTCACCCACTATCAGTGCACCTGTTTGACTGTGATAGTATGGGGGACTGTCCTGAATATGCTTGAGAGTCGTCAAAGAGGGAACGATGCGTAACCTAAAAGTTTCTGATACAAAGTTTCTTCCATCGTCAGTTAAGGCCGCAAATGGTACCTGATACATACAGGAATCAGGGACAATGATAATTTCGGGCTCCTTCAGTAAAGCAGCCACAGGAGCGATGATTATCTTGTAGCACAAGTGAAGATTTGTCTTGATACCTTTGTCATCACAATCGCGCAAGAGCGGGTGATTTTCATGGTAAAGTGACACCGATTCGGCGTCATCTAGAGATCGATCTTCGCAATCCTGTTCGGGTAAAATGCCAAGGCCACGGAAACTTTCCGTAAAAAACTCATCCAAGTCAGGGACTAATCCGGTCACCACGTTTTTTTCCAGGCTCACTTCCTCTTTTGAAAAAAGAATAGCCCCTGTTGCTTTGAGAATCCAGTAGCGCATATGCTTTTCTCCAACAGAAATGTAGAGGCATGCACAGTCAGTTTCCTTTGCGACAATATTTTGAATCCCATACCATGATTTTGGATCGCCTGAGATCTGCTCTACAACAGAGTACCTAGCTGCCATCAAGTCGGCTAAGCCCCTCGCCCGTCTCAGCTCCTCAACATAGAGAGCGTTTTGTGGCTTTGCCGTGGAAGAAAGCAAACAACTGAGTAACTCGTAGGGAAAGGTGCCGTGCTTCTCCAAAAGTGATGTTTTAAACTCATCGTTGTCTTTAAGAGATCCTCGTAAAGTGTCAAATATTTCAATGGTTTGGAAAAGAGACGAAAGGGCTTCTTCAAGATCAAATTGTGATACCTTCAACACCGTTAGATCAAGAAGGCATTGAAACTCATGCAAGAAATATCCAATATCCCTGCTTAGTAAGAGAGCCTTCTTGAAGTATTCCTCGGCTATGTCATATTTACCGAGCGATTGAAAACACAATCCTAAATTTGCGCAACTGACAAGAACACCTTCTTCCGTACCAATATCCATGTGAATTTCAAGGGCTTTCTTGAAATATCCTAGAGCATTGTCGTACTCACCACGCTTATGAGAAATTATCCCAAGGCAACTGAAATGTCGTGCTTGTCCTTCTCTGTCACCGATTTCCCTCCAAATTGCGTTCGCTCTCTCCAAAAAATCGTCAGCCTTTAAATATTTACCGAGGGACAGAAACAAATGTACAAGGTTTACTAAAGTGTCTGCCTCTCCTTTTCTGTCGCCAATTCTCCTGTAAATACGTAGAGCTTTCTCCAGGTATTCTCGGACCTTGTCATATTTGCCAAGCGACATGAATATTTGTCCAAGGTTTGTGTAGCTTGTTGCCTCTCCATTTCTGTGGCCAATTTCTATTTGGATAACGAGAGCTTTCTCCAGGTATTCTCGGGCCTTGTCGTATTTGCCAAGCGATATGAACAGTGGTCCAAGGTTTGTGTAGCTTGCTGCCTCTCCATTTCTGTCGCCAATTTCTATTTGGATAGGGAGAGCTTTCTCCAGGTATTCTCGGGCCTTGTCATATTTGCCAAGCGACTGGAACACTGTTCCGAGGCTGCCATAGATTGTTGCCTCTCCATTTCTGTCGCCGATTTCTATTTGGATAATGAGAGCTTTCTCCAGGTATTCTCGGGCCTTGTCATATTTGCCAAGCCACTGGAACACTGTTCCGAGGCTGCCATAGATTGTTGCCTCTCCATTTCTGTCGCCAATTTCTATTTGGATAACGAGAGCTTTCTCCAGGTATTCTCGGGCCTTGTCGTATTTGCCAAGCGATATGAACAGTGGTCCAAAGTTTGTGTAGCTTGCTGCCTCTCCATTTCTGTCGCCAATTTCTATTTGGATAGCGAGAGCTTTCTCCAGGTATTCTCGGGCCTTGTCATATTTGCCAAGCGACTGGAACACTGTTCCGAGGCTGCCATAGATTGTTGCCTCTCCATGTCTGTCGCCAATTTCTACTTTCATAGCGAGAGCTTTCTCCAAGTATTCTCGGGCCTTGTCGTATTTACAAAGCGATACTAACAGAGGTCCGAGGTTTGCGTAGCTTGTTGCCTCTGCATTTCTGTCGCCAATTTCTTTTTGAATAGCGAGAGCTTTCTCCAGGTATTCTCGGGCCTTATCGTATTTGCCAAGCGACTGGAACACTTTTCCGAGGCTATGGTAGCTTATTGCCTCTCCATTTCTGTGGCCAATTTCTATTTGGATAGCGAGAGCTTTCTCCAGGTATTCTCGGGCCTTGTCGTATTTTTCAAGCGACTGGAACACTTCTCCGAGGCTATGGTAGCTTATTGCCTCTCCATTTCTGTCGCCAATTTCTATTTGGATAGCGAGAGCTTTCTCCAGGTATTCTCGGGCCTTGTCGTATTTGTCAAACGACTGGAACACTTCTCCGAGGCTATGGTAGCTTATTGCCTCTCCAATTCTGTCGCCAATTTCTATTTGGATAGCGAGAGCTTTCTCCAGGTATTCTCGGGCCTTGTCGTATATGTCAAACGACTGGAACACTTCTCCGAGGCTATGGTAGCTTATTGCCTCTCCATTTCTGTCGCCAATTTCTATTTGGATAGCGAGAGCTTTCTCCAGGTATTGTCGCGCCTTGTCGTATTTGTTAAGCGATATGAACAGTGTTCCGAGGATTCCGTAGCTTGTTGCCTCTCCATGTCTGTCGCCAATTTCTATTTGGATAGCGAGAGCTTTCTCCAGGTATTCTCGGGCCTTGTCGTATTTGTCAAGCGACTGGAACACTTTTCCGAGGCTATGGTAGCTTGTTGCCTCTCCATTTCTGTCGCCAATTTTTATTTGGATAGCGAGAGCTTTCTCCAGGTATTCTCGGGCCTTGTCGTATTTGTCAAGCGACTGGAACACTTTTCCGAGGCTATGGTAGCTTATTGCCTCTCCATTTCTGTCGCCAATTTCTATTTGGATAGCGAGAGCTTTCTCCAGGTATTCTCGGGCCTTGTCGTATTTGTCAAGCGACTGGAACACTTTTCCGAGGCTATGGTAGCTTATTGCCTCTCCACGTCTGTGGCCAATTTCTATTTGGATAGCGAGAGCTTTCTCCAGGTATTCCCGGGCCTTGTCGTATTTGTCAAGCGACTGGAACACTTTTCCGAGGCTATGGTAGCTTATTGTCTCTCCATTTCTGTCGCCAATTTCTATTTGGATAGCAAGAGCTTTCTCCAGATATTCTAGGGCCTTGTCGTATTTGTCAAGCGACTGGAACACTTTTCCGAGGCTATGGTAGCTTAATGCCTCTCCATTTCTGTGGCCAATTTCTATTTGGATAGCGAGAGCTTTCTCCAGGTACTCTCGGGCCTTGTCGTATATGTCAAGCGACTGGAACACTTTTCCGAGGCTATGGTAGCTTATTGCCTCTCCATTTCTGTCGCCAATTTCTATTTGAATAGCGAGAGCTTTCTCCAGGTATTGTCGCGCCCCGTCGTATTTGTTAAGCGATCTGAACAGTGTTCCGAGGATTCCGTAGCTTGTTGCCTCTCCACGTCTGTCGCCAATTTCTATTTGGATAGCGAGAGCTTTCTCCAGGTATTCTAGGGCCTTGTCGTATTTGTCAAGCGACTGGAACACTTTTCCGAGGCTATGGTAGCTTATTGCCTCTTCATGTCTGTCGCCAATTTCTATTTGGATAGCGAGAGCTTTCTCCAGGTATTCTCGGGCCTTGTCGTATTTGTCAAGCGACTGGAACACTTCTCCGAGGCTATGGTAGCTTATTGCCTCTCCATTTCTGTCGCCAATTTCTATTTGGATAGCGAGAGCTTTCTCCAGGTATTCTCGGGCCTTGTCGTATTTGTCAAGCGACTGGAACACTTCTCCGAGGCTATGGTAGCTTATTGCCTCTCCAATTCTGTCGCCAATTTCTATTTGGATAGCGAGAGCTTTCTCCAGGTATTGTCGCGCCCCGTCGTATTTGTTAAGCGATATGAACAGTGTTCCGAGGATTCCGTAGCTTGTTGCCTCTCCATGTCTGTCGCCAATTTCTATTTGAATAGCGAGAGCTTTCTCCAGGTATTCTCGGGCCTTGTCGTATTTGCCAAGCGATATGAACAGTGTTCCGAGGCTAAAGTAACTTGTTGCCTCTCTATGTCTGTCGCCAATTTCTATTTGGATAGCGAGAGCTTTCTCCAGGTATTCTCGGGCCTTGTCGTATTTGCCAAGCGACTGGAACACTTGTCCGAGGTTCGTGTAGCTTGTTGCCTCTCCATGTCTGTCGCCAATTTCTATATAGATAGCGAGTGCTAAGTCAAAATATTCTTTCCCTTTGTCATATTCTCCTGAGGACCACAGAAGCACTCCTAGTCTTCTATAACACTCTGCTTCTCTTTGTCCTTTTCCGGCCGTTTTCATCAAGTTTATTACTAATTCATAAAATTTCTTTCCTTCTTTAGGCTGAAGTGAAAGTTTCCTGAAATATTCTTCACTACCTGAGGAATTCCATAGAGTGAGCCACGCCCTTTTCACTGTGGTGCGAATGCGTTCGTCAAATGATTTAGCAATTGGACTGTCCGCGCTTAAATCACCATTGTTTAGTAAAATCAAGCATTCTTGGCACAACTCAATGGCTTTAAAGGCCAAACCAGTGTTGAGAAGGAAAATGGCGACAGTTACACCTATTTTGATAGCTAACGTGGTGAATTCCTCTTCTGTGTTTTTCATTTGGCCTTGATCACTGTAGGTTTGGAAAAAAAAATGTAGGTCAGGCATATGACACTCGAAAGTTTCTGTACAAGGGTTCATGGGTGCGCAGTTTTTCAGGAATCTTGGTTTTCTCATTCCGACGGAGGTCCTACCCTGTATTGAAATGAAGCGTTTACGAGACTGAAACCGGCATGAGTGTGATTGCACTTCCTGGTTCATCTCACAAAAATCTGACTTTTATTTAATGATTGCGCCATTCGCATTCGCGAACGTTTTGCTAGAAGGAAGTAGGGGTAACTGAATTTAAATGGTTGAAACCAAGTTTTTTTCTGTTACTCCATATATAGCCTAAAACATTTGGTACATAGGTTTCCTTATCCTAACCTGTTTAGTTTCCACTTCGGTGTTTGTCGAATTTTGTCAAATCACTCAATGTATAGTTACAGATCTAATTGGATTCTTCTTCGACTCTTTTCATTTCTTTTCGTCAGGAATCTTGGTGATCTTAGGCAATAAGATCTTGTTACCGTTTGTTCCACTGAGGTGTTCACAACAATGTCACGCACATCATTGAGATGCTCATTACGATGTCACACAAATATTTAAACTTATTGTCTCAAGCTAGATATGTTCCGCGTTCATTTTGATACGAGTGAGGGTACCTGAATGAAATTTTCCCCGGAAAAATGAGTTCCACAAATAGTTCCACAAATTGGAACTACAAGCGGTAAATACTGGGGGAGGGGGAGAGGGGGGAGTCCAAGGGGTCAATCAGTTGCATTTCCTGCCCCACATTTTATGATTGTAAAACATTCAGTCAGTCATAACTTATAAATACCCTACCGTTTAAGGACAGAAACTTCAGTTGTGCTGTGATCGATCTTGTGATGAACATCCAACCGTTAAAACGCAATGAACACTAGGGGCTGACGTTTCCTGTAAAACAAAGTACATTATTTCATTTTGCATGCTCATATCCATCAACGTTTATCAAAGTTAGACTAACAAAACCGAAATAAAAGTACCTAAACCGGAGCACTTGAAGTTCGCAGTAAACTGATGAACGTTTTTTTTTCTTCCACTGAGATGAACACTTTCAAGGGTAACATTTGGTAAAATAATCGTCTTGTAGAAACTCAAACTATTAACATCATCTGTTTAGCTTATATAGCAATTTACATAGTGTCTTTGTTATTGATAATGCAAATCACACCCATTAGAAAATGAAAAGTTTACCAGTAAAGGGTCGATCATCGCACCCAAACACACTATTTAATTGAACTGTGATCGATCTCTTGATGAAAATCCAAATGTTTAAAAGCAATGAACACTTATGGGCTGATTATCCCTGTACTGAAAAAGTACAATTTTTTTAGACACAAGTAATTTAAGGGGAACAATTAATATTCGGAGTAAATTGCTCAGCGTCTTTCTGTATTTTCCACTTATGAATTAGGAAAAAAGTAGATGAATTTATTCATGATTCGACTTCCATTTTTCTGACATGAAAATCCTGTTCGAAGTTGGCCCAAGTTTTTAGGTGTTCTAGACATCAAATTATCATCAACATCGCTTTCATGGCGCATTGTAGTGTTCTCAAATTGCTATTTTCATAGCCAAAGCGAAGCGGAAATAAAAAATTCGAGAGTAGCAGGGATGACTGATGAGACTTTTCAGGAGATTAGCTTCAAGGATCCCGCTTCATAAGTATGGTCCAGGTTCATGCCCCCTCCCTCCCCTCCCCAAAATGTTACCAATTGTTGTATATTTTTTAGAGAGTTTCGATCTATGTAGATCCTAACTCTAATGTCACCTACTCGTTACTTTATCTAAGTCTTATCTAGATTAATGCTTAAAAGGGTAACTCTTAGTAAAGTGATCATCTTAGAGAAACTCGCGCGCACGCTTAACTTCATCCGTTTTCCTTATCTAGTAAATTATTCAGTATCTTGATCATGCAAATCACACCCACTAGAAAATAAAAAGTCTTGAACAGTGGAACAACGCGGAGATGGCTCACCTTTCTAGGGCTGATGGTTCACTTGTACTTTGATCAATCTTGTAATGAAAATTCAAGCGGTCAAAACAAATGAACACTAAAGGCTGACGTTCCCTGTAAAACAGAATAAATTGTTTCACTTTTGCACGCTCAAATCCATCATTAGTTATATAAGTTAGTTATAAAAAACCGAAATACATGAAAAAAAGAGGGAACATCATCCACTATCTTCATTCTGGAGAACGAAAAAATATACGAATTTCATTTATCCGTCCTTAATACTCTATTCCGTCCTTCTCAAGATTAGCTCGACAGTACGACGTGTGACAAAAACTTTGACGAGGTCGGATCAGAATATATCTCTACAGAAATCAATTTTACCAGCCCTGGTGATATGCGATTCAGTCGTTCGCAGAAAATTTCAATATCCAAAATGGTAGTTCGTGTAGTATGATCTAAAAAAAAAATGGTATTTCAAATTTTTAATTCGACCTCGCTATTTGTGATTGTCTTTCTATTTGATAGACATTACCTGTCAGTTTTACCTCTCATAGATCAGTACATTGAATATAGCATGATAGAACACTGACACTCTAAACAAAAATGATTTGTGTAAGCTATGTAAAGGCACTAACAGTGGGAAATAAGTTGAACTGTATCATTTTTTTGAATACCCATTGAAAGCTCTCAAATTGCTGGTTTCATAGTCAAAGCGAAGCAGAAATAAAATTGTGAGAGTAGCAGGGGTGACTGATGCGACTTTTAGGAGATTAGGTTCAAGGATCCTGCTACATAAGTTGGTCCAGGTTCACTCCCCCTCCCTCCCCTCCCCAAAATGTTATCAATTGTTTTACATTTTAGAGTGTCGATCTATGTAGATCGTAACTCTAATGTCACCCACTCGTTACTTTATCGAAGTCTTATCTTGATTAACACTTAAAAAGGTATCTCTTAGTGAAGTGATAATCGTAAAGAAACTCGCAGGATGAAGTTCATCCGTTTTCTTGATTTAGGAACTTACTTAGTATCTTGATCATGAAAATCACGCTCAATAGAAAACGAAAAGCGTGAAAAATCGCGGAGATGGCTCACCTTTTGAAAGCAGAAGGATCTGTTGTACTTTGATCAATCTTGTAATGAAAATCCAAGCGGTCAAAATAGATGAACACCAAAGGCTGACGTTCCCTGTAAAACAGAATAAATTGTTTCACTTTTGCATGCTCAAATCCATCATTAGTTATATAAGTTAGTTATAAAAAACCGAAATACATGAACAAAAGAGGGAACATCTTCCCCTATCTTCTGGAGAACGAAAAAATATATAAATTTCATTTTTGCTTCCTCAATACTCTATTCCTTCCTGTGCAAGATTAGCTCGACAGTACGACGTGTGACAAAAACTTTGAAGAGGTCGGATCCAAATATAATGCTACAGAAATCAATTTACCAGCGCTGGTGAGAGGCGATTCAGTCGATCGCAAAAAATTTCAATATTCCAAATGGTATTTATAATTTTTTAATTCGACCTCGCCGTTTGTGATTGTCTTTCTATTTGATAGACATTAACTCTCAGTTTTTATCGAAGACATAGATCATAACATTGAATATAGCATGATAGAACACCCACGCTCCAAACAAAAATGATGTATGTAAGCTACGTAAAGGCACTGACAGTGGCAAATAAGTTAAACTGTATGTATCATTTTTTGAATACAACCAGTACTTACCAAAACCTGTAGACTTCAATGCCTCGCCATAAAAAATACAGTTAACCACCTCCGCTACTCCGTTCAGTTTTTTCCTAACACATGCCAGCTGTCACTCACAAAAAATGCCAATAGAACGTGATCTTATGCTTCTTTCTGTCACTTTCGCAGTCATTCTTGTCCCCAGGCTTACCGTTTCTTTTGGCCTGTGGCCCTTTTGTGCTGAGCCGGTGGAAACTCAGACATCAATTTTTTTTTTCAACTAAACCACCAAACTCACATGATTACACTTGATTAGACAGGATGCGTTAAAAGAGCAGTAAATGAGATGACCAGTTTATTCTTTCTTAAAACTTATCATTGAACAAAGCTATTTTATATATAATACTCCTCTGGGCATAAACAACAAAAAATTCCATAACTTATAATTAACTTCCATCAGAGTTAGCAGAAGGACTCCACTAACTCTGATTGGCTTTATTCTTTTAGGTCGTATTCAACTTTTGATATAAGATAGCAGTGCAAAAAAACTTGAACATGTATTGCTTGAGGAAGAAGGCAGTCAGTCATGAAAGTTCTTTTCTGTTTTCCGGGCTCATTGACAGGTCTCAACAACGTCAAGTATACATAGAGCTCAGCTCCAGGCCCTCAATATAAGCGCTTCGGCACGCGCGATTCTTAGCCTACAGGAATTTAGGAGGCCTGGAGCGACGAGAGCCGGTGAGAGGTCTGTAAGGGGCTTAGCATTGATAGCATAAGTGCTAGACAAATCTCGGCAAATCTATCCTCGACTGTCTCAAATCTTCCCGCGGGCGGATAAATGCGTATCCCGCTGCGCTAATGGTGAGGGCCTGCTTTTTGAAAGTCCTCCTATATCGAGAATGATGTTTTTTTCGTCTTGTCACGAGTGTGAGACAAAGAAAAAATTCTGAGTCTTCACGAGGAATCGAACCTCAGACCTTCGGATTCCGCGCTCCGATGCTCTACCACTGAGCCACAGAGACTTCACGGTGGCGAGGCGCGGCGAGGTCTGTTACGAAGTTGAAAATTCCTCTTATATCCTTAAGCACTTTGAAGATATGAACAGATAACTCCTCCCTGCGATCCTAATATGTTATTATTGGTTAGATTGTGTTATCGTGATTTGGAATCAATTCTCTTGCATAAGAAACAAGGATATGTATGGCAGTTAGTAAGGAGATTTAACGATTGGATCTTGGGAGTTAAAGGGAGTTAAAGGGCCAAGAGAGCTTACAAGGGCAGCTGGGAACCTGCGGAAGATCGGTGTTGCTTCGGAATCAAAGCGAATTTTATATTGGACACACTTGATTTCACTCAAACCTTCAAAGACATTTTCCTCTTTGGTGTTTTAGGCGGTCTTCTAGATGTTTTTAACCAGACTTATACGTAGGCTTGATTTAAACCCGTAAACGAATTGCTTAATGAATGAATTTTTCTTTGTACTCACAAGTCAGGTCATCTCTTTCTCGGCTTGCAATTCTCCTGTATAAGAAACAAGGATATGTATAGCAGTTAGTAAGGTGAATTAACGATTGGATCTTGGGAGTTAAAGGGCTGAGAGAGCTTTTAAGGCCAGCTGGTGACCTGCTGGGGGTGGAATGTGGGAGATCGGTGTAGCACCAGCATCAATTTGGACACACTTGATTTCACTCAAACCTTCAAAGACGTTTTCCTTTTCGGTTTTTAGGCGGTCTTCTAGATGTTATTAACCAGACTCATATGTAGGCTTGATTTAAACCCGTAAACGAGTTGCTTAACGAGGATGAATTTTTCTTTGTACTCACAAGTCAGGTCATCTCTTACTCGGCTTAGCAACAAGTGGGTCTGTTTGTGCGATACTGGCGATACTGAGAAAGAATTTTAACATCGAGGACCAACGAATGAACCTACGATTCTAGAGCCGAGAGAGCACTGGTGAACATTTTTGGTGAATTCCTTGGGACACCTCTGCAATCCCTGGTAACACCAGTTTACGGATGAGAGTATTACGCTTCAGGCATTAAGTTGAGTTAACTCATGTATTTACCACCAACAGTCATCTCTCGTTGGCGATTCTTAGGACTGACATATTGGATGGTCGCTCTACCTCAAGGGTAATTGTTTCCTACTTTCCGTTCTTTTTTTTTCTTAATGACTTATTAATCTCAACGTACATGTTAACGGTTGGTGGCGATGGCTTTGACAATACGATCACTTGGACGATTCCGTTATACGATCGACCTTCGGGAATAATCGGATGTATTCGGACTGTAACGACCAGTTCTCGGACAAAAACATCTCTGATGACAGGTTGGTAAGCGGCATCAATGGCGCTCGGAATGCAGTAAAGAAAAAGCTGGATTTGCATGCAAGTACTTGGTTATTGTGCAACCCTGAGAGGCCTGTTTCCCTTTTGTAAGAAATGTCCATAAGAAGAAAACCAAGCAAGTACGGTGTGTCATCTTCTCACGCGGATGAAGACGCTCTACCAACAGCAAATCAGACAAGTTTCTTCCAAAAGGGACGCGAATTCGAAAGTCGCTATGTAAATCACCATTACACGGAGGAGGAAAAGGAGAAGCTCGCTACATTTGAAAGTGTAGACTATCTACCTCCTCACAGTGCTGTGTACAAGGTCAGTGAGCGACTCTGAAAGAAGTAAATAGCGAACGCCACAATTAAGCGCGGTCAAGGGTAGGGTGAGGGTGTGTGCATCGTAGGTTGCTTCCGGGAAGGTCAAGGCAAAGCTCTTGCACGTTTCTCGATCTCAAAGTTTGCACTCCAACTAGAAATTTGCAAAGAGAATGATTTACCGTTTCAGGTGGATATACGTTACGGATCTGAGGTGCTTGACTTACCTAAATCAAGGGTGTCGAATTCAAAATATTTTTCTTGTTAGTGCATGTTATGGCTTAACCCAAGATCTGATTGTTAATTCTCCCTTAAGCTTCTACACATTTCTTTTTAAGGAAGGTACAAGAATTTGGTGTTCGATCAAGATGAAAACTTCTACCTGACAAGTTTTGAGTATTTTCATTATCTGTTTGCTGGATAACATATAGATATTGTAGGAAGAAGTTGCATGTTAATCACTTCTGGAGGTTGAAGGGGTTAAGCTTGATGTGTATAATAACACTTGAACCCAGCGTTTACCTGCTTTAAGGGCCATACACTCCATAACTCAGTTTGTTTAAGTATCTCGCTTAATGGACATTGTTTTGAATGGGTCCAGGGTTTAAAAGGCCTCATTGGCATGTGCACTTCCCCTAAAAAGAAACTCTTTGTAAGTGTCTCCCTCCCTCACCCCCACCCCACTGAGGTTGTACCTTTAGACTAGACCCAAATATCATTCCTTTTCTAACTTTTTGTCACAAATGCCAAATGTTAGTTCATGTGTCATGATGGGATCTATGAATATATTTACACACCTATGACCTTTTAATTTTGATTTGGCCATCCCTTTAAAATGTTTCACATCCAACAGCTCAATCAACCCATAATTTTGGAAAATTGAGAAAAAAAATTCCAGATACACTGTCTTTCAAGCAAAATTTAAACTTATGAGCACCTTTACTTTCTGTATTTTGTAAAATACACGTGGCCAAGACTTTAATTTTATTTTAACAAATATTACAATTGATTTATGAAATTAGAAATTTCATTAGTGGTAAACCACTAACAAGGAAGAACACAAGGAAGACCAAGTGACCCACTTTGATTAGGGGAACAGTAATGCAAAACAAAAAAAAAAACAATTGAAGAGGATGGCCATGTTTTTATTCATTCATCAACCTTGTTCCTAAGTTCTCTCTTCTTCCCTTCCTTTGAAGCAAGAGAGAGGAGGAGAGGAAGAGAGAGCCTGGGAATGAGGCTGTTTGTTCATTGGAATGATTTATTTGTTAATTCTAGAACTGGCTAAAGCAGCAGCCATCACGTTTTGATTGGGACTGGGGGATGATGGATTTCTTATGCATCAACTTATTGATGTCATATCAGAGTATGTCTTGCTAATGTTGTATTACAAGTATTATACATGTCTTTTATGAACAAAAAAAATCTCAATATTCTTTTTGTGCGCAATATAACTTGATGAACACAAACATACAATTTGATGTTTTATGTATAATTATCTTGGCATATACAATTCTAATGTTGTGCACACAGCTTTTGAGTGCATAGATTGCAGATGCAGGTAAATTGCTGTTAGTAGCTATTAAGTGTTCCTAATGATGAATTACAAATATGCCCTGCACTGCCTGCATGAAGTACTTAATTAGTTCATCATGCAATTTGCAGTTTGTGTGCTTACATGAGGCACTCAGTGTGTCCAAAGTTAGAGAGTAACAGTCAAATCTCTGGCACTGGAGATGAAAAATAACCTGGAATCTAAAATTCAAAACAAGTTAATGTTATGAGAAATAATCAGTCAATTTCTGTTTGCACAGGACTTTCCAGTGGGGCTGGCAGTTAAGGGGTTCATTGTACAGCTCTTTTATAAATGATAGGACCAATAATTACTCTTTTATTGACATGCAAATTATAACTTAGGCTGCTTTGCATCCTCATTTGTTGGTAACATTCTTCTATTTAAACATGTTGGTTAGGAAGCCTTTTAACCCTTTAGCTCCCATGAGTGACCAAGACAGAATTTCACCTTACAATATCAATACAATATCAATACAATATCAATACAATATCAATACAATATCAATACAATATCAATACAATATCAATACAATATCAATACAATATCAATACAATATCAATACAATATCAATACAATATCAATACAATATCAATACAATATCAATCAGACAGGTGATGAGAATAAAGAAAAATATAAGTTTGAGGATTTTCTTGTTGATCCAATATCAATTTCTCAGAAGTAGCATCATAAGAATTGTATGACAGACAGTAAGAAGAATTACTAATGAGATTTTGGGCATTAAAGGATTAAGCCTTAATATTTAATCAATGGATAGGCATGTGATTTACGGAAGAGGTCTTCTTAAAATTAGTCAAATTACTATAATTATTTGATTATTTTAAAGCTTAAATGTACACACTGGCTATCTTTTTTTTTTTATTTCTGTTAAAGCAAGTGTTTGCACTCTTTATCTGTTGAACAATATTATAACTGGCAATGGCTCCTGGCAGAACTTGGAAAAGATTTACCATACAACAACTGTCTTTCCTTTTGCTGTTTTTAATTGTGGTAGAGATATTTTGATATTATAAGCATGTTGGTCTATCAATAGCAAGGTCACAAGGTAAAGGTTTACAGATGACCTGTAATGAAAGCTCCAGAGCTATTACATATCACAGTAAGAATCTCATTACTGATATAAGAATTATTGAAAAGTGTACAATACATATAGTTTATATGTGTTTCATATTTTTCTTCCATTTTCAACAGAGTGAAACGGGACAAAGCCTCTGAGTTTATATAGGTATGTGAATAAAAGTTACTGTAGTTTTGTTTTCTGTTTCCTTCATTTAATGTTCATTTAATGAAGAAAACTCAAAACTGTTAACTAAAGGTAACTTACTAAAAAACAAACCCCATTATTTGATTCAGCATAATACCAAAATAAAATTGAAAAAGCCTAGAAATATTATTCATTAAGTAGTGATTCCTTTCCTTTCTGTGAAAATTACATGTAAACAAATCAGTTCTTTCTCTATAGGATGGTGACTTTGGCTTAACTTGGATATGGGTCATTGGTTATAGCGTACTTTTTGTCATAGCAAGTTCTGCTCCAGTTGTGGTGGGTATACAACTTAAAATTTTTTTATTGGACTCTTTCATTCTGAAGATAGATCTAGAGATAACAATTATCTGTACTCAGTCTGCCATACTTTTCTCACAATTTAAGGTTTAAAACCTTTGTGACCTTTCTTCTTAGGTATGTTTTCATATTTGAAGGAGAAATTCCTTTTTGGTTCTGAAGTAAAGTAAATGAAGTAAAACGAGCAGGTAAAGTCAGCAAAGATTAGTTTACTTCTAGACAATAAAAATTGTTCAATTTCTTGTTCTAACAGTACTATCATCGTTCTGCTGGAGGTTCTGGTATTCCTGAACTGATTGGTTTCCTAAATGGTGCAGTAGTGCAACACCTCTTTAACCTCAGGACCATAGTAGTCAAGTGTTTCTCCTGTGTTTGTGCAATTGACGCAGGACTTTCTATCAGCCCAGAAGGTCCAATGATCCATGTTGGATATGTTTTTCAGTGGATGTTTGCTCATGTCTAATCAGAATAAGCAGGAACTGAAATTGTCAACAAAAGTCTTGGGACACTCGTAAGTAATGTTATAAGTTTTATAAATTATTATTATTAATAGTAGTTATTTTCTTTCTTGCAGCAGTCAACCCAAAAGATTGATTTTTCAATGTCCACTTGGCAGTATTAAATTATCTATTAGTTAATTATATAGGGTTCTAAAAGTCATAAAGTGAATGTTCTGCCTTTTAAAACTGACAGAACAGCTCATCCAAATTTACAAAAAGGAAGAGCAAGAGCAGTAAGAAGTTGATGAAACAGTGGATTCTTCAAAGCCAGGACTGTTTTACAGCCCACCCAAGACTAATTATCAACCTCCAGGAGGAGGTGCTAATACCAGTGACAATGACTCCTTGACAGTCGATCTGATTATTCCTGAGGAAAGTAGTGATATATGTATTCAAAAGGCATTAAAGGGAAAATACAGCAGTAGAGATGGCAGACACAGAGCAAAACATAAACATCGACGACATGAATGACAGTGGAAACATGGAAGCTTGTCTAGTATGCTTGTTTGTTTTCACATGGGCATGTTTGTGTCTGTTCAGAAACAGTACCTTATGGTAAATTATGTCAGTTGATTCATTATTTTGTGAAGGGTTTCATTTAGTTCTCTCTCTCTTTATTTGGTGCAGATACAAATACATCTGGATATAAGAGACGTTTGTCATCTCATCATGAAACAGAATCTTTTTTGGGGAGAAGAAATAGTAAGGGAGTTTTTTGTTAATTTTTGTTTTGAAAAATCAAGTCAGTTGTTACATAATTATGCTTTGGTTTTAGTTGTCAATAACCTATAGACTGCACTTGTGTGTCCTTATTACATGTAGATGTATTAGTTTTTTTCTAACTAATAAAGACTTTTTTTCACAGCTCCTGATGAGGCTCAGAATACTGGAGGACTTTTCACAGTATTAAACAAATTTTGGGCAACAGAACTTGCAGATGTTTTAATACCAAGAGACCAAGTGTCAGTTGGAGATCCTTTATTTAGAGGTTAGCTAGATACAAAGAACTTTGGATGTTATTTTATTTCCTGGTACATAAACTTGAGCAACCTGGCTGACAATTAGCCCCTTAGGTCTAAGTGAAGTTATTAAT